ATCTAAATTTATTATGTGCATCCACATATTTGTTTTATAAAATTTTACCTCATTTTCGTATAATTATATTTGTATTTTTAAAGTTATTTACACGATTTTACAGTAATAGCCTATATGCTGTGCATAATAATATTTTATTACATTATTTGTGCCCAAATAGTATTTTTATAATTTTATAATATTAAACTACTATTTTTAAGCATCTTACTACATAAATAATATTTTTATTAATTGTTAATTACTTCTTATAAATTATCTTTTATAATTTTTGTGTATTTAAAACTTTGGCCCAATTTTTGTGTTATTTTTAGACCCAAAACCTTGCTCATAACTCCAAGCCCAAACCAGACAACCCTTTTACTAAACTTGGTCGCGACCCATGTAAACGACCCGCCCTATTTCCCTTTGATCCTGGCAGTTGATCTCAAATTATCAACAACCCATAATAAATCCCCCACCTTTCCTTATATCCACTCGCCCAAACCCTAGCCTCATTCTTCTGAGACGGACGCCCTTGAATCCTCTCTACTCTCTTCTTCTCTAAGGAAACCCTAGCCGCCATATCCCTTAATCCTCTCCAATTCCGACCTTAATATGGAATCCCTCCATGATTTCCTTTCCTTATGTGTTCTGTCATCTTGTTACTTACACGATTATGGTATCACCTAGTACTTGCCTTTTTTTGGCAAGTAGCAGGCCCTGAGTTGTGTACAATCGTCTTCAACGTTTGAGTGTTGCTGAAATTATTCCTCTTGTTTACTTGTTCATTAATCTGTAACTGGTAAGTACCTATGACTCTTGCAATTTTATTTTCTTCTCGTTTGAGTTCCTGCTCTGCATACCTATGTCTCTGAGATATTTTGTGAACCAATATGCTATTTTCTACTTTGAACCTATTCTTGAGGCTCTATACCTTTTAGTAATCGAACTTGCCTATTTGTTGCCTTGATTCTGTTTTCTTAAGCCCGCTTGCTCTAATTTTTATGCTCAAATGCTTATTACTGTTGCTTATTTTGAGTTTAACTTCTTGCCTTGTTTTGTGCTCTTGTGATGAGTCGAGTCATGCCCAGAACTTGTTCTAATTCTTGTTGAGCCATTCATGTGCAACTTAATATTTTTTTCCTAGAGTTAACTCCTGATCATGTTGTTAGCCCGAACATGCTTTCCATGCTACTTGTGAACTAGTGCATGTTCCCTTCCTTGTCCCGTATCTTTGTGATAAATCAATGCATGTGTTTCAGACCTTGTTAAGTCATTCCTGTCCAACCTCCTAAATTCTTGATATTGTACTGATTAGCTAAGGCCTGTTTCCATGCCATTTAAGTTCTAATGTATATTTTGACTTATGCAATCCTGTGCTCTTCAGTATTATTTGAGACCTTAGGGTAAACCTCATAACTAGCCTCTCCTCTCATATATGGCCAACTAGAATCAACATGCTAGGGTTTTCCCTGTTCCATTAAGCAATTTCTTAATCATGAGCTTGTTATGTTACGTTGTTCATTTGGTGTTCAAGATGGACACTTTCACGTGATGGCTGTGCTTGGTTTGTTTCTTGCCTGAATCTGCTAGACCTTCATCTAAGGTTCCCTAGGTTGATTCTGAATCATGCTTCATTTTGAAACTCTTTGGAATGGTTTACTATCCTATGGTAGTCAATCAGGCCACTCTTAAACTTTATTGCTAGAATTATAAGCATAAACTTACCTTGTATGTGCCTTTTCAGTTTAGCCTGATTCTGTTTATATGTCTTGGCTAGAGCTGTTGTTAGCCACAGTTCTAAGAACTAAGTGTTTAAGTTGTTTAGTTAATTCTATGAGTATTCTGTCACCTGTATGGCTGATTTTGCCATGGTTTGGATAAGTAAGGTTATTCGTTAGGCCTAGTGTTGGGCCATACATGTTGGGTTTGAGCATGGAACTCAGGTTTCTATGGTAAGCGGTGTATGGGTTTGCTGTTATCACTCGCTTAATCCTGCCTATAGGATGTTGTCACTCGCTTCAAAAAATTGTTTAGGAGATCAACATTGTTAATACTAGACTTTCAAGGCTGTTTCATTCCCTATGTTATGACACTACTAGAAATTATGCCTATAGGACAGTGTCACTCACCTAAGACACCTATTTATTAAATCAACGCTGATAGTTCTGAGTTTGGAAACAGTTTATTGCCTCTTCACCTAAGCCATTTAGAACAATAACGCTGCATATACGATGCTGGAATTCGGAATCACCTAGAAACCATGCCTATAGGACTCTAAGTCTTAATTCTCAAATCATCTACTGCCTATGCTACTGCGTGCATTTGTTGTCTATGTGTGGAGGCTAACTTGAGCCTATAATTCTCTTTGCGTGAAGTCCTATCTATTTTAAATGTCGCCTAGCTTTCTCATTTTTGAGCAACCTAAGTTGAGTCTAGAACCACCTCATAGTAGGTCCAAAGCCTCCTGGACCATAGGTATGGGACGGGTAGTGCACGCATAGGATACAATTTAGAATTGAATTAGAGCGCCTTTAAGTAACAACTTCAACGTAGTAATTAGGTAGCAGTAGATGATAGTCTGTGCCCGCTGAATAATATGAGCAACCCCTACCTTAAGGGAGTTACGAAGTATTATTTATGTTGCACAGGGTGATCCTTTAGGCTAAAAAACTTAGGACCCCCCCTTTCTTTATATGCTTGTTATTTACATTTAGTCATTTAACATAGGCCAATGCAGTTGTACACTTGTAATCTTTAGGATTTGTACCCATTATATATTCTTATGTGTTATAATAAGAGTCTTCAATTTCTACATTTTTCTCTGCTTATTTGATCACCTAGCTTAATTACATAATCCACATAGTTTTGAATTCGGCCAGGACCCACAGTTGTGGACCTCGAAGAGTGCCTAACACCTTCTCTTTGACGTAATTTGAGCCCTTACCCGATCTTTGGTGACACGGACTAGTCAAAATAGAGTTATTTGCAAATAGGTGCCCTAATGCACCTTAAAAATCGTTAGGTGGCGACTCTTCTCTTTTAATACCACTTTTAAAAGAGTTTTCACACGTCGAAACCTGCTTTTGCGAGAAAACGGGGCGCGAGAAAAGGCTCCCGTGGTGATATAAGGAAAGATTGTGGGATATTATACTTTTTGGACTATGAGGCGGTATCTCGGGAGTGCCCCCGTTGATTTCCTCTATTTTCTGCATTGTTGTTGTTTTCCTTAACTTGTAAGATTCTTGCTTCCTCTCGTGTTGTATTTGCTTTTTTCTTGATTTTGTGTTGCTGCCTTCCATAAATTCTTATTGTCAACCTCCTATGCAATCTAGGAATCCTCACACCTCTACAATGAACATCATGGATAATTTGTCTTTGCAGCATCTTGGTAGTTCTCCATTTGTGTTGGAACAATATCATATTCCTCTCATGCCAAAGACAGTACAAACAGCACGCCAACGTCATTCTATATAAAGGGTGGCAGGAGGAAATTGGGTGGGCTGTGAGGTATGGACAGGGGAAATCTTCCCTTTATATCATTATATCAGCTGCCTTGTTTCTTATTATTTCCAGTAGGGCTTTGACTTGACCTTGTCACTACTTTACCGAGGTTAGGCTTGGCACTTTTTGGGTACCATTATGGTGTACTCATACTACGCTTCTGCACATGTTTTGTGCAGATCCAGGTGCATCTTATTAGCCTCGGTGTTAGTGTGTGGAGTGGCTTGCTTATCGAAGACTTCAAGGTACACCTGCCCGCGCCCGTGGGCCTCAGAGTCCCCTTCTATCATATTTTTTCCTTGTTCCTTTTTGTTCTTGATAGAGAGTGATGTATAGGATTGTGCAACTTTGTATCTAGAGCTTATGACTTATTTCTTACCGGGTTTTGGGAGTTGTATATACTTTGAGTTGCAGTTTTAATTTTATAGAGTTGATGCTTCGAGATTTATAGTTGTTATTCGCATGTTGTTAGGCTTACCTAGTCTTAGAGACTAGGTGCCATCACGACATCCACAGAGGGAAGTTTGGTTCATGACAAGTTGGTATCATAGCTCTAGGTTCATAGGTGTTATGAGTCACAAGCAGGTTTAGTAGAGTCTTGCGGATCGGTACAAAGACGTTTGTACTTATCTTCGGGAGGCTATGAAATTGTTAGGAAAAGCTACACTTCTTTGATTCCTTGTCGTGCGAAATCGTTGACTTCAGGATTTTAAACTTCAGTCTTTCTATTCTCTCACAGATGGTGAGGACACGTACAACCGGATCAGATGACCAGACACCCACGCCCCTTGCTAGAGCCGTGCGAGGCCGGGGCTGGGGTAGAGGCCGAGGACATCCACGTGGTGCAGCCAGAGCACCCGCATGGGCTGCTATAGAGGAGACACCAGTAGCTCTAGTTAGAGACAGGCACTTGAGATGCCTGTTACTACACCAGCCCTACAGGAGACTCTCGCCTAGTTTTTGAGTATGTTCGGCACTTTGGCTCATGCAGGATTGATACCACTTGCTCCTGCCACATCTCAGGCCGGGGGAGGAGCACAAACTCCCCTGTAGACATGTAATTTTTGACCCGCCACGTCTTCAAGCTATATTAGCAGTTTCACATATTTTATATATTTATTTGAGTTATTTGAATTTTTCTAAGATTCTAATATACTATTTTTATTGTTATTTTATTTAGTATTTAAAAAAAATCGAAAAACACAAAAATAGTTTCAAGTTTAGTTAATTTAAGCTTAATTAGTACTTAATGTAGTAATACTATTTTCACCTATTTTTATTTTTACATAATCTTGAAAAATACCAAAAAAATAGTTTCACAATATAATATTATTTATTTTAAAATTAGAGTTAGTTATGTATTTTATAGTATAGATTTTACATTATTTGTAGAAAAAAATTAAGATTTTGGGTTGAAAATGCCCAATTTCGGATAGCCTAAAACATTGAGCCCAATACCCTTTACACCCAAATTAAAACCTTTTAAAATCCTAATTCCTTACACAAAAAAGGATTCCACCCCTTCTTTCAAAAAATGAACAGACACCGAAAACAAAAAAAGGGACAAAAAAAGAGGAAGGATGGCAGATCTCTTTCTCTAAAAATGAAACCAGTAGCCGCCGACCCCTAAGAGAAAAAGGATAGCCGCTCACCCCTAAGAAAACGAATCTAGGTCTTTTCTCAAATTTTCCCAAGAACCATCAATTTTAGTCAATCTTACCTGTCTGAAAGAACCTAGATTTTTTGCAATCTTTAGCATTTTATCTTCGCCCAATTTTGTGTATACATAGAGTGATAGACTTTTGGAACATAGCATTAGACAAACGTTTTTTGTTGGGTTTTTGCTTGTTTTGAAGTTGGAATGGACATGGTCAGATAGCTAGGAAAAAGAGAGGGTGTGATGGAGTTTGAGTGAGGTCGCTTTGGTTTCGAGTTTTCGGGTGTCGATTCGAGGTTCCAGTTCGCAATTTCGGCGCTTCAGTCCAACGATTGTTGCTTTGTTATTCCGATTGAGTTGCAAATTTTCAGCTTTATTCAGCAATAAAAGGTCCATCTTTTTCTTAATTTATTTCAGTTCATTCCGCATTACTCTGTGTTAGCGTGTTCTTTTGTTCGTTATCTCGATATATTAATCCAACTCTTTCCAGATATATTTTTAACAATGCTTTAGGTTATATATTTTTTTCCCTTTTAGTTAAAATATTTTTTTTGGTCGATATGTTGACTTGTTCTATGGATAATTTCCTTTAATTGTTTCATTATTCTTTTTTCATCTTTATTTCATTTGAAAGTAATTTAATGAATGTTTTGTGAGTTGCTTATTTATGTTAATGGATTTCCTTTAGCTCATGAGTTAGTATATTAATAATAGTGATTGGAGTTTAGACTTCGGTGAAGAAATGCTTTAGGAAGTAACTGATTTAAATGGGCAGGGGCTCAGGCGGTGATGATGTGATTGAGTTGTGCTAAAATATTTCTTGACTTCCAAAATAACTCCTTCCATAATTCTCATGCCTTACTATAATCTCAAAGTTTAAGAAGAATAATGAACACCTAGTATACTTTTAGGCACGCTTTTAATAAATCATCGTGATTGTGTACACGTTCGCATGACATAATTATGATTTTTAAAATAAATCGAGGTATGAGTTCGCGCAACTTTGGCCAAATTTTCTTAATAATTAATAAAGCGTGATTAATTGTGTATGCGTACGCGTGACATGATTCTTGACGCGCAAAACAAAATAAGTACACATACGCATGACTCATTTTAAAATAATTCCATAATCGCGAATAATCAAGTAATTAAAAGCGTAAAAAGGTAAATGTACATAGTTTCCAAAATAAGTAATTAGACAATTAATTAAGCCAGGTATGATCAAAGCGACCGTGCTAAAACCACGGAACTCGGGAATGCCTAACACCTTCTTCCGGGTTAACAGAATTCCTTACCCGGTCTTCTGGTTTCGCAGACTTTAAACGGATTCAAATTTCCTCAATTTGGGATTTAAAATAAACCGGTGACTTGGGACACCTTATAATTATCCCAAGTGGTGACTCTAATCTAATAAAAATCCCATTTCGGTTATTGTCACTTTAATTGGAAAAATTTCCTTATATACCCTTTCGGGTAAAAAAGGAGGTGTGACATCCCATGGCGATACCCCAGAGCAGCGAGTCCAGTTGACTAGGTCCCAAAGGTCATACTAGTGCAACCGGTCGCTCCAGTTCAACCCGAGGTTAGGGCAGCCATTTCTGAGGAGGAGCAGCTCAGGCTCGAGAGGTAATAGAAGTACCACCCTCCCACTTTTAGTGGCTTGGCGTCAGAGGATGCCCAGGGTTTTCTTGAGGAGTGCCACCGTGTCCTCCGTATTATGGGTATTGAGGAGTCTAGTGGGGTTGCATTCACTAGGTTCCAGCTTAGAGGAGCGGCTTATCAGTGGTGGCAAACATATGAGTTGGGTAGTCTGGCTGAGTTAGCTTCACTCATTTGGACTCAGTTCTCGGATATGTTCTTGAGGGAGTATGTTCCCCAAAGTCTCAGAGATATATGGCGTATAGAGTTTGAGCAGTTGCAGCACGGTTCTATGACCGCGTCGGAGTATGCGGTCCAGTTTACTAATTTGGCTAGGCATGCACCAGCCTTGGTTGCTAATGTTAGAGAGCGAGTCCATCGATTTATCGAGGGGCTCAACCCCAGTATCAGATTTAGCATGGCCCGAGAGTTGGAGATGGACATCCCATACCAGCAGGTAGTGGGGATTGCTAGGAGATTGGAGGGTATGTTGACTCGGGAGAGAGAGGAGAGGGAGGCCAAGAGGTCTCGAGAGTCTGGCACATACAGTGGTACCCGTGCCCCAGTTATAGCTCGTCATGGTAGGGGCTATGTGAGTCGCCCTGTTCATTCTGCACTTTCAGCTTCCAGCGGTATTCCGGCCACTCTTAGGCCTCAGGCTCCCTATTATGCACCGCCATTATCTAGTGCACCTCCTACACGGGGTGCTTTTTGCGGTCAGTCCAGCTTAACAGGCCCGAGCCAGCCACAGCAGCCACGTCCTCCGAGGGCTTGTTTTGAGTGTGGTGACACTCGTCATATGGTGAGGGATTGTACCAGACTCAGGAGGGATGCACCTCCACAGATTACTCAGGCTCCGCGTGCTCCACCAGGTCCTCAGGCTATGGTTACCACACCAGGTACCAACCCATCTGCACAGCCAACTAGAGGTAGAGGTCGAGCAGGCAGAGGTCGCCCTAGAGGGGGAGGCCAGGCCAGATACTATGCTCTTCCTGCTAGGACAGAGGCAGTTGCATCTGATTCTATCATCACTGGCATTGTTCCGATCTGTCATAGAGATGCATCAGTCTTATTTGATCCAGGCTCCACTTGTTCTTATGTGTCATCTTATTTTGCTCTGTATTTGGGTGTGTCCCCTGATTATTTGAGTTCTCTAGTCAATGTGTCTACCCTCGTGGGAGATTCTACTGTTGTTGACCGTGTGTATCGGCCGTGTTTGGTTGTTCTTAGTGGTTTTGAGACCAAAGCCGATTTAGTATTGCTCAGTATGGTGGATTTAGATGTTATTTTGGACATGCCCTATCATGCTATTCTTGATTGTCACGCCAAGACCGTGACGCTGCCTATGCTAGGATTACCACGATTAGAGTGGAGAGGTACTTTAGATTATGTTCCTAGCAAGGTCATTTCATTTCTAAAGGCTCAGCGGATGTTTGAGAAGGGGTGTGATGTATATCTAGCATATGTGAGAGATGTCAGTGATACTCCTACCATCGAGTTAGTTCCGGTAGTTAGGGATTATCCAGATGTATTCCTGGCGGATCTTCCGGGCATGCCGCCCGATAGAGATATCGACTTTGGTATTGATTTGTTACTGGCCACACAACCCATTTCTACTCCACCTTATCATATGGCCCCAACAAAGTTGAAGGAGTTAAAGGAACAATTGCAAGAGTTTCTCGATAAGGGCTTCATTCTTCCCAGTGTGTCGCCTTGGGGTGATCCAGTCTTATTTGTAAAGATGAAGGATGGTTCTATGCAAATGTGTATTGAATATCGCCAGTTGAACAAGGTTATGTATCCATTGCCACGTATTGATGACCCATTTGATCAGCTTCAGGGTGCCAGAGTGTTCTCTAAGATCGACTGCATTCAGGCTATCATCCGCTGAAGATTCGGGAGCCAAATATCTCGAAGACTGCCTTCAGGACTCGGTATGGACATTACGAGTTCCTTGTGATGTATTTTGGGTTGACCAAAGCCCCAGCAACATTCATGCACTTGATGAACAATGTAGTTCAGACCTATCTTGAATCGTTCGTCATTTATTTTATTGACGATATTCTGGTGAACTCCCGGAGCCGGGGGGATCATGAGCAACAAATGAGGACTGTGCTTCAGACTTGAGAGGAAAAAAGTTATGTGCAAATTTTTTGAAGTGTGAATTCTGGCTAGATTCAGTGGCATTTTTGGGTCATGTAGTATCGAGTGAGGGGATCAAGGTAGATCCGAAGAAGATTGAAGCAGTGCAGAGTTGGCCCAGACCATCCTCAACTATGGAGATCCGGAGCTTTCTTGGTTTGGCGGGGTATTACCATCAATTTGCAGAGGGTTTCTCATCTATTGCAGCACCTATGACCAGGCTGACCCAGAAGGGTGTTCCGTTCAGGTGGACCGAGGAGTGTGAGGAGAGCTTTCAAAAGCTCAAGACTGCTTTGACCACAGCCCCAGTGTTGGGGTTGCCTATAGGTTTGTGGTCTTATACGGTGTATTGTGATGCGTCGCGCATTGGTGTCGGTGCGGTGTTGATGCAGGACAATAGCGTGATTGCCTATGCGTCTAGATAGAGGAAGGGGCATGAGAAGAAATATCCTGTTCACGACTTTGAGTTAGCAGCTATTGTTCATACCTTGAAGATTTGGCAGCATTATTTCTATAGTTTCGCTTGTGAGGTCTACACCAACCACCGGAGTTTGCAGCATCTAATCAAATAGAAGGATCTTGAAATGCGGCAGTGAAGGTGGCTAGAGTTGCTTAAGTACTATGATATCACATTTTATATCATCCCGGGAAGGCCAATGTGGTGGCCGATGCCTTGAGTCGCAAGGCGGAGAGTTTGGGAAGCTTAGCATATCTACCGGTAGTAGAGAGGCCATTAGCCTTGGATATTCAAGCCTTAGCCAACTAGTTTGTTAGATTGGATATTTTTGAGCCGAGCCCAGTTTTGGCTTGTGTGGTTTCTCGGTCTTCTCTTTATGATTGTATTATAGAGCGTCAGCATGACGACCCTCATCTGCTTATCCTCAAGGACACGGTTCAACATGGCGATGCCAAGGAGGTCACTATTAAAGATGACGGTATATTACGGATGCAGGGCAGGCTATGTGTGCCCAATATAGATGGCTTGCGTGAGTTGATTCTCCGGGAGGCTCACAGTTTGTGGTACTCCATTCATCTAGGTGCTGCGATGTATCAGGACTTGAGGCAACATTATTGGTGGAAGAGAATAAAGAAGGACATAACGGAATATGTAGCTCGGTGCCTAAATTGTCAGCATGTCAAGTATGAGCATCAGCAGGCAGGTGGATTGCTTCAGAAGCTAGAGATTCTGGAGTGGAAATGGGAGCGGATTACTATGGATTTTGTTGCCGGACTCCCACGGACTCAGAGGAAGTTCGATGCAGTTTGGGTGATTGTGGATAGAATGACCAAGTCAGCTCATTTCATTCCAGTAGTGACTACTTACTCTTCGGAGCAGCTGGCTCAGGTTTACATTCGCGAGATTGTCAGGCTTCATGGCGTGCTAGTATCTATCATCTCTGATCGGGGTACATAGTTTACATTGTAGTTCTGGAGAGCCGTACAACATGAGTTAGGTACTCAGGTGGAGTTGATTACAATATTTTACCCTTAGACAGACGCACAGTCCGAGCGCACTATTCAGATATTGGAGGATATGCTTCGTGCGTGTGTGATGGGGTTCTTGGGATCAGTTCTTGCCACTTGCATAAATGGCCTACAACAAAAATTATCAGTCGAGCATTCAGATGGCCCCGTAGGAGGCTTTGTATGGTAGGCAGTGCTGGTCTCTGGTGGGTTGGTTGGAGCCGGATGAGGCTAGGCTATTGGGTACAGACTTGGTTCAGGATGCTTTGGAAAAGGTTAAATTGATTTAGGATCGACTTTGTACAGCCCAATCCAGACAGAAGAGTTATGCAGATCAGAAGGTTTGCAGCGTTGCATTAATGGTTGGGGAGTGGGTCTTGCTCCGGGTTTCGCCTATGAAGGGTGTTATGAGGTTAGGGAAGAAGGACAAGTTGAGCCCTAGGTATATCGGACCATTTGAGATTCTTGAGAGTGTTGGGGAGATGGCCCACAGACTTGCACTGCCACCCAGTCTAGCTGAAGTTCATCCAGTGTTCCATGTGTTCTATGCTCCGGAAGTATCACAGTGATCCATCTCATGGGTTAAACTTTAGCTCAGTCCAGTTGGACAAGGATCTATCTTATGTTGAGAAGCCGATAGACATTTTGGACAGGCAGGTCCAAAAGTTAAGGTCGAAGAACATTGCTTCAGTTAAGGTCCAGTGGAGGGGTCAGCCAATATGGGAGGCGACTTGGGAGATCGAGCATGATATGCGCAGTCGTTATCCTTATCTTTTCACCACTTCAGGTATGTCTCTATACTCGTTCGAGGACGAACGTTTGTCTTAAGAGGGGGAGGATGTAACGACCCGGTCGGTCGTTTTGAGTGTATTAGCTCGGACCCCCTAATTATTGCCTTCTCTGAGTTATATTATGGTTACGTGACTTGTCGGGAGGTTTGGTTTTTGGTGTCGAGTGAAATTGGACACATAGTCCCTAAATTGGATGTTTAAATCGTAGGACTTTTTAATATCGGGGTCGTATTCTAATTTCGGAAGTTTGAATAGATCCGTAATGTCAATTATGACTTATGTGCAAAATTTGAGGTCAATCGGACGTGATTTGATAGGTTTCAGCATCAGATGTGGAAGTTAGAAGTTCAAAAGTTTATTAGGCTTGAATCGATGCGCAATTCGTAGTTTTAGCATTGTTTGATGTGATTTGAAGGCTCGACTAAGTTCCTATGATGTTTTAGGACTTGTTGGTATAATTGGTTGAGATCCCGGGGGCCTCGAGTATGATTCGGACCATGTTCGGCGCATTTCGAAACGTTGAAGTATTTCTGAAGTTGCTGTTTTTTCTCAGTTCTGGTGTCCTTCTACGCATTCGCGATGATGCTCCCGCGTTTGCTTAGAGTCTTCAGATATGGCTGAAAATTTACCCTTCGTGTTGGCCACGCATTCGCGAAGGGTCAGGACTTGATGCTATGCCATCGCGGACTGGGTTACACGTTCGCTATGAGGAAGGCAGCTTGGGTGAGAATCACACATGGTCTACGCGATCGCGAAAAGGGCTTCGCGATCGCGAAGCTTGAGAACCCTTGGACACGGCGTTCGCGAGTGGCCCCTCGTGTTCGCGTAAAAGGAAATTGGGCAGTAACTTTTTTGTGCTTCGCGAACACGAGGCAATTTCCGCGTTCGCGAAGAAGGATTAACTGGGCAGCAGAACTTAAACTCCAAATCGAGGGTTTATGTCATTTTTAACCATTTGGACTTGAGAGCTTGGATTAAGGAAATATTTTTAAAGATTTTCGGATGGATTGTTGGTGTAAGAGTTCCTACCTCGTTTTTCATTAAATATCACTAATCTATCTTCGATTTCTTCTTTTAATTAAGGATATGGGTTGAACAATTGGGGAACAAGGTGTAAAAGTGCTTAGACCAAATTCTTGAGTTTTGAATGGCGAAAGGGGATCGAATTTGAATAATTCTTGTATGGTTGGACTCGATATCGAATGGGTATTCGGATTTTATAATTTTGGTCGGGTTATGAGACGCGAGCCCGGGTTGACTTTTTGGGGCGATTTTCCAATTCTTTACAAAAATCATAATTTCATTGAGAGTGGTTTGAGGTAAGTCACTTGCGTAAACTTGTGTGGGGAAATCCCCTTAGGATTTGGTATTGTGGTGATAATTTGTGATATGTGACAGCCGTGTACGCGAGGTGAAGAGTGCGTACATGGGCTAAATATTGAAATTCCGATTTTAGCTATGTAATTTCCTTTTAATGCCTTGTTTGAGTTACTTAGCATGTTGTAGTCATCATGTTTAGCCTAGTTTCACATGTCTACTTGTCTTATATCCTATTTGCAACTTGTATCACATGTTTAGTTGAATTATATATTTATTACTTAATTGTGGAATTCTTTGCTTGAAATAGCTATCCTTGAAATATCTTGTTGTTGAGTTTGGTGTTGAATTGCAAGGCCATGGTTCTTTTGAGGCAAGGCGTAAGTTGTGAAATATCATTTATTTAGTTGTTGTGTTATGGCTTTCGTGTTATTGCTGAGGTGATTGTTTGGTTGTTTGCACGAGGTTTCTTCCATGCTGTTGTTATTGTTGCACGGAATTTCTGCCGTGCGGTTGTTATTGTTTGGACGAGGTTTCTTCCGTGCTGTTGTGATTATTGATACGCATGCGGTGGTATAAGGTCTAGGTATTGAAACGCATGCGGTGAGATAAGGTGGGCTTGATATGCATGGGTAGTAGGGGAACTACTAGAAGTCATGCGGTGTGATAAGGTGGGCTAAAACGTGGGATGCTATTTCGGGAAAATGATTTTCAAAATAAAATATAAATGCTACCGCGGTGATATAAGGAAAGACTGTGAGATATTTTTCTTTTGGGATTACGAGGCGGTACCTCGGGAGTGCCCCTGTTGATTTCCTCTATTTTTTGTATTGTTGTTGTTGGTTTCCTTTACTTGTAAGATTCTTGCTTCCTCTCGTGTTGTATTTGCTTTTTTCTTGATTTCGTGTTGTTACCTTCCCTAAATTCTTATTGTTTCACTTCTCTGTCATTTTATTATATCATTATATCTTTTGCCTTGTTACTTATTATTTTCAGTAGCGCCATGACCTGACATCGTCACTACTCTATCGAGGTTAGGCTTGGCGCTTATGGGTACCGTTGTGGTGTACTCATACTACGCTTCTGCACATGTTTTGTACAGATCCAGGTACATCTTATCAGCATCGGTGTTAGTGTGTGGTGTGACTTGCTTATCGGAGACTTCAAGGTACACTTTCTCGCGTTCGCATGTCTCGCAGTCCCCTTCTATCCCGTCTTTTCCTTGTTCCTTTAAGTTCTTATAGATAGTGATGTATAGGATTGTGCAAAACTTTGTATTTAGAACTTGTTTTGCTATTACTTGCTACCAGGGCTTCTCTCACCTTCTTTAGCCGAGGGTCTATCGGAAAAGTCTCTCTGCCCTTCCAGGGTAGGGGTAAGGCTGCGTACATCCTACCCTCCCCAGACCCTACTTGTGGGACCACACTGGGCTGTTGTTGTTGTTGTTGTTGACTTATTTCTTACTGGGTTTTGGGAGGTGTATATACGTTGAGTTGCAGTTTTCTTTTTATACAGTTGATGCTTCGAGATTTATAGGTTTTGTTTCAGTTATTCGCATGTTGTTAGGCTTACTTAGTCTTAGAGACTAGGTGCCATCACGACATCTTAGGGAGGGAAGTTTGGGTCGTGACAAATGTAGATGTCTATAAGTAGCTTAACTTCAATCCCACTTTTTTAAATCAATCCCTGTAGCCAGATAAGTTTCGTCGGGTATCGGAAAAGTTTTTATTATAAAAGGATATAAGGAGTTTGCTATTGTGGCTGATATGCTTCTGTATGCAGCTTCAGATGAACTTCTAGACGCGATAGTTTGTTTCTTGGATTTTTAGGAAACTATGAAATCTCCAATCTTAATCAAATATTATGTTACAGAGTTCCTAAAGTATAGGTAGGCAACTTAGTCTGCATCACAATAGGCCGTGATAGTATTCTTATTGCTAATTGACAGTAAAACACCTTGTCCTAGTTGCTTTTTCATATATTTCACAATTCTAAGTGAAACCTTCATTTGTGATCTCTTTCATTGCTGAAGAAATTAGCTTAGTGCTTAAATACTAAAATATATGCCAGGCTTTATCATCGTAAACTACAACTTGTCTATCAATCTTTGATATGATCTCAAATTAGATAATGGTTTATCTTATGAATAATTTGCCCCTTTAATGTAATCATAATACTCCTTGGCTGTAAGCTTAGCATTAGGGTCTAAAGGAGTTAAGTAGGCTTGGCAACTCCAAGACCTAGTTTTAAAATGAGTTCCAATACATATTTTCTTCGATGCATTAAATTTCTTTATTCAGATCTAGCAAATTCAATGGCAAAAAATATTTTAATTCTCTAAAATCCTTCATCTTGAAGGCTTGTTGCAGTGTAGTCTTTGTTTCTTCAATATTTTTACTACTGGGGAAAATATTTTTTAGTAGTCAATGCCTTTCTTTTGCTACAACTCTTACTTTAAACCTTTCAATGTTTCTATAGATTTATATTTTATTTTGTTTATCCATTTGCATCCTATAGGCACTCTTTTCAAGAAGTGATACTATATTCCAAGTTTGATTATATTCTAATGCTTCAATTTTTATTTTCATTGTATCTATCCATCTAGTATCTTCCACAATAGAGTTTTATCTTCCGGAGCATAGTATCTTCCACACTAAAGTTGCACTTCCACAATAGAGTTTTATTTTCTACTTCTACTATTAGTCTAATATTGCAAGCTAAGGTATATAAACTAGAGATGAATGTTTTTGATGTTTTTTCAAATAGTTTAAAGGCCTAGGGATGTGACCATAACCTAGGTGTTTGCCTATTGGGATAAAGACGTTAATACTTGTTTTGTTGATTGGGGTGTATCATATCTCTCAACTCTACGTTACCCACTCAATACCTCTCGATCAGAGAGTGATTTTCCCCAATTTAGTTTTCTCAAGTCCAAATAGTTATCAAACAAAATAGTTGATATGACCTCAAGTCGGATTCTTACTATCTCTAGTTTGAACCCTTTAATCAGGCTAATCAATCTCTCAATTAACCCAATTCCTTGTTAGCCAAGTTATCCTAGACTAGTTCCCTCGTTCTCAAGTTGAGACTAAGTCAAATAGGCATGAATCAACGTTTGCAACCATTAATCCTAAAATTGAAGCATGAACTAAGCTAAATAATCAACACCCAATTATAAATAAGTATTAAATTAATCACCCAGAAGGTTTACACACTAGGGTTGGATGACAACCTTAGTAAAAATCTAGCTACTCATAATTGGATTTGAAGAAAATAAAGAAGAAAAACTAATCGAACTCATAATGAAAGATTAAAATGATGAAATTTAATGTTTAAACACCAAAATAATGTAAAACATCCTAAAATAGTAAAAAGAAACGGCTACAGCAACTTTTAATATTCAAACTTGACCTAAATTTGTGAAACTCGTCTATTTATACAGGGCCAAAAGTCACGAACAAAAATACCCCTCGAGAGGTTCTGCGGCCGCACAATTTCATGTGCGGTCCGAAGATTTCTTCAACTAGCAGAAAGGTGAGTTCCGCGGCTGCACATTTCTGGACTGCGGCCGCACAATTTTTGTGCGGTCCTCACTTTACAAAGGCTCGAGGACTTGGTCTTTTTGCATATTCTCTAAACTTTGAACCTTTGTCAGTGAAAGCCCAGTTCTGCAGCCGCACAATTCATGTGCGGTCCGCACATTGCTGAAAATCCTGTTGGGTTTTGCTTCTTGGTCTGCGGCTACAGATGAAATTTGCCTTGTGCTTCGGAACACTCCTTTTTTATTCAGATTTCATCTTGAGAGACCAAACTTCCAGCATTCCTGCAATTTGCACAATTTCAATAGTTTCGGGAACACAATTCAATACTTTTGTACTAAAAACAAAAGCTAAAAGGTGGTAATAAGCAGTCAAAATCCCCACGTATCAAGAATAAACAATCTAGAACCTTTAGATAATTGCAGGAGGGCTTCCTGTGATATGGTCTCTCATAAGGAGGCTTATTTTCAATTACTATACTTAGCATCCTATACTGCGGCCAATATACAGTATTCCTAGAATTTGAGTGATATTTCTATTTAATATCTGATAGCTCTAGTTACCTTTAGGATGTGACTATGCTTTTTTAGCAACATCATTTTGCTAAAGAGTATAGACACATGTTCTTTGATGAATAATTCCTAGTTTTTTGAACAAGACACTACAATACTGAGATTATGAACTCGGTTACATTATCCGTTCTAATAATTCTATCAGCCTTGTCTAACTAAGTTCTAACAAGAATTCTAAATATTGTAAAATAATACACACATCAAATTTTTATTTGAGTAAAAATATTCATGTCATTATTGTGTAATCATCAACAACTGTCAGAAAATATTTATTGCCATCATTGGTAACATATTTTAATTCTAAATCTGTCTATATCAACTCTAATCTTCCCCAAATTTTACAAATTGCATCATTTATGTTTTTTCAACAAATTTCAACCATAACCATTGAAATTTTTTTTTTGCCTAAATTTTTTGAATGTTGTATATCATTGGTAACTTTTTTGGCTTGTTTGGTAGTGTCACGATCCAAATCCTAACCTGTCGTGATGGCACCTATCTAGTACTAGGCAAGACGACATTTACAAATAACTCCAAAGCTTTTAACAAAAATGGATTCTTAAAATAGTTTAAATAGCAACTTCTCAAAAACAAGATAGAAAGATCCAAACACAACGCGGAAAAGCTCCCAAATTGGGGTGTCACAGAGTACATGAGCATCTAAATGTCACAAGTCTGGAATACACTGTCTAAGATAGTCCAAAACTAGATACAATAAAAGGAAAGATAGGGAAGGAGAAAACAAGGACTGCGAATGCCGGGCAGCTACCTCGAAATCTCCCAAGGATCAACTGCGCAGAATATCAACACCCACCGTGTTCGAAAATACCTGGATCTGCACACGAAGTGTAGGGTGTAGCGTGAGTACAACCAACTCAGTAGGTAACAAGACTAAATAAAGAATTGAAGATAGTGATGAGCTACATAGTTGTAGTTCAATTTTAGTAGTCTCAACAAAAGAAAAAATAGGCATGCTTTCAAATCCGGTAATTTACGTCAAATCAATTTATACAAGTCAAGTCCAAGTAAAATCGGATGTAATATCTCTCAGAAATTTGAAAGCAGCGATATATGGTAGCTAAGTGCAACAATAAGGAAATCAAATGCATCCTCTCAGAGCAACAGTCATTATGTCCTCCCAATCACTCTAACCTCACAATCACTCATTTTCTCACAGTCGCTCATTCCTCAGTCACTCAATCCTCTCAGTCGCTCGGCCCTCGCACTCAGTAGGTACCTGTGCTCACTGGGGGTGTGTACAGACTCCGTAGGAGCTCCTTCAACCCAAGCGCTATATCAAGCCAATCATGGCATAAATCAATGAAACATGCTGCGGCGTGCAGCCCGATCCCATAATATCCTCACAATTAGGCCCTCGGCCTCACTCAGTCATCAACCTCTCCAGTCTCTCTGGATCTCATTAATCGTGAAAATCAGCCCAAACAACAATGATATGATGTATCGACAAGGAAATAATAGAGACTGATGAACTTTGAAATTCCAATTTCTACAACCGACGCCAAAATCTATCAAATCACGTCCGATTGACCCCCAAGATTTGCAAACACGTCACAAAATGACACCACGGACCTACTCCAACTTTCGGAATCACAATCCGACACCAATGTCAAAAAGTCCACTCCCGGTCAAACTTCCCAAAAATTCAACTTTCACCATTTCAAGCCTAATTCCACTACGGAACTCCAAATCAGAATTTGGACACGCTCCTAAGTCCCGAATCACCCAACGGAGCTAACGGAACCATCTAAACTCCATTCCGGAGTCGTTTACACATAAGTCAACATCCGGTCAGCCATTTCAACTTAAGCTTTCCATTATGAGACTAAGTGTCTCAATACATTCCGAAATCTTTCTGGACCCGTGCCGACTAACTCGGTAAGTCATATAACAACTATAAAGCATATAAGGTGCAGTAAGTGGGGGAAAGGGGCTACACCTCTCGAAACGACCGGGAGGGTCGTTACATCCTCCCCCTCTTAAACAAATGTTTGTCCTCGAACTGGTCTAGAAACATACCTGGAGTCTCAAATAGATATGGATATCTGCTCCGCATCTCCCGCTCGGTCTCCCAAGTAGCCTCCTCAACTGGCTGACCTCTCCACTGCACCTTCACCGATGCTATGTTCTTTGACCTCAACTTTCGAACCATCTGATCCAAAATGGCCACCGGC